TGTTAAGTAGTGGGGGAACCTGAAGATATATTGTGGAGCAGTTTGCGGGACGGCTGGAGCGCCTTGTGGACAGGCTGGTGGAGCAGTTCATAGGACAGTGGGAGCTGCTTGTGGGACGCGGAGTGGAGCAGTTTGTGGGACGGCGGGAGTTGCTTGTGGGCCACGGAGCCAAGCGAAGTAGTTCGTGGGGTGGCTGGCGGAGTGGAGCGAAGGCCTATGGAGCTGTGGGGTGGTCAGCTTCAGATCATGTAAGGTGCCCCTTACCTCTCTCTCTCTTCCCTCCCCCCACTCCACCCAGGTTGGGAGGTAAAGCTCTGCAGATAAACTTTCGAACTCTGGGGCTGCCCTGACCAGGGACAGAGACTTTTGGGTCATTGGACTTTTGGGACTTTGGGTGATTTGGGGTTGCTGGACCCAAGAACCAAAGGGAAAGTACATGCCTCAATTTGCCTGGGGTGGGTTTTTTGCTCATGGGTTGTGTTATGAATCCTGTTGGTGGTGTTTCCCCAACATAATGCCACATTGTTTCTCTCTGTTATTGAAAGGCTTTTTGCTACACTCAGACTATGTGCTTGCGAGAGGGGAAGTATTGCCTCTTGGAGGCGCCCAGCGGGGGTGGTATATATTTGTCCCAGGTCACTGGGTGGGGGCTCGAGCCGGTTTGCATTGTGTTATTGGAATGGATCCCCTAGATATTGAACCCGGCCCTTGTTGCTGCCAACTCTGACGGGCAGAAGGGTTACATGAGTAAGGCATTCCAGAGTCTTCAGTGGTTCTTGAACTTGTGCAGCACATCCAGAGTAGGGATTTGTACCAGTGCTGCTAAATGAATACCTACAAAACCTCTCCAGTGTAGATTAGGGTTTAGAGGAATTTGAAAAGAAGACAATACCAGAATAATTTCCCACTGTCAGATTAGTAAGGAAACCAGAGTAGAGCACTATGGGTTTTCTATGAAGTGTAGGCATGTTTATGTAAACCACTGGAGATAGGAATCAAGTAAACACACTGTTTTCACACCATTATTTGCAGTGGGACTAGAAAATGAGTTAGAAAAATCTGAAAGGGAGCTGACCCCAGAGTAATTTTCTACTGAAAAAACAGAAAAGAAACCTAGATTAAAATATTTTATTTGCTTCTGCAGATATCTGCTATATCCATTAAATACATTTGTGTATGTATACAAGCGGAAATGAAAATTCAGGAAATCCACTGTGAATTTAAGGGCTACCCTTCAAACAGGCATGTAAACAGGGATCACACATTGAAAAAAACATTCTGTAAGGCAAGAATGACAAAAGACTTACTAGTTGTACTGGTCTGCTGTGTGGTAGGGAGTACAGTTGGCAATACAAAAAGAAGATGACAAAATTAAAGTAGCATGTTTATTAAAGAGACATTGAAATGAACTTCATGAGTTACTGGAGAAAGGAAAGACATAATCTAGAACATCATCCCTGAAAGAGAGAGAGACAGAGAAAATACATACTAAACTACAAATTTAACTGAGACTCAGTTAGTGCTAATACCAAGGCTATCCTAAGATAAGCAAGACATTCAAAAGGCAAAGTCTGGATATATCTATGTGAGAAAGGCACCTCAAAGTCTTCAGTGGTACTTGAACTTTTGCAGCACATCCTGAGTAGGGATTTGTACCAATGCTGCTGAATGAATAGCTAAAAAAAAAAAATCTCTCCAGTGTAGATTAGGATTTAGAGGAATTTGAAAAGGAGACAACACCAGAATAATTTCCCACTGTCAGATTAGTAAGGAAACCAGAGTAGAGCACTATGGATTTAGTATGGAATGTAGGCATGTTTATGTAAACCACTGGAGACAGGAATCAAGTAAACACACTTTGAATTTACAGGTCTGTCTTCAAATAGGCAAGGAAACAGGAATACTATTCTCTCACTTACTTGTAGTACTGGGCTCTTGTGTGGTAGGTGGAGGAGTTGGTACTACAGAAAGAAAATGAAAGACAACATTAAATAGTTTATGCAACACACACACAAATGTTATGAGTTGCTGGAAAAAATAAAGTACAATTATATGTGGGATGAGCTATTACAATGAGACAGCTCATTGCTGCTGTGGGGAAACCAAAGGGATGGGGAGCTGGAGGCAGGAAATTACCACCTGTATCCCCGTCCTCTTATGCAATTCAATTCACATTTTTCCATTAGGAGCAGGATTTGCCCATTCCTCCGTGCAGAAAAAAATTGAAGGCTTAGTTCCAAACCTTGCAGTTTGCATCCGGTCTTTTGGAATCAGACATCACTGGAGGTCACAAACGTCTGTATGGATGTAGTGGGGCAGATCCCTACCTCCCATTGGGAAAGAATTAAAGAGCTCTTCTGGGCACAGTCACCCTCAGTGCAACACACCTGTAAGCCTTGTGAGGCCTCGAGATGGGTAGACCCTTAAAAAGGAGGATTCTTGCTCAGGCCAGCAGGACTGCAAGTCAGAGCTCCCTATCCCTTGGAAGAAGGGGTTCCTGACTGGAAAACTCCTTGAGAGCTTTGGCCACCCAGGCCCTCTCAGAAAAGAGAAGAACCTGTCTTCTTTGGCTTCCTAAGGGCCTAGGACTTTGTTTTTGTGGTCTTCAGAAGCCTATTGATTTTTTGTATGGATTACTTTAATGCCCCCTCAAAAGGGGGCCCTGATCCACAGAGATGGAGGGCTGCACCCCAGACTCTGAGACAGGAGCAGCACTCACCTTCTTCCGAGAGGGTCACTAGAGAGAAATAGCCTACTACAGTGGACTAATTGAAGCACTGGCTATGTGGCACCATGGATACATTGTATTTATGCTGCCATTCACTTCCTTGATTGTAGGTGGATATTGTGATATTATTAAGACTGCAAGGTTGATTATTTCTGATTTAATTATTAAATTATTTTCTACTAAAATATACTAACACAGTCCTTCAACTTTACTACTAACCCACACACAGCTATTGAAAGTGATGGGAATGTGCAACTGATTTGATAAACACAAGCAGTGTTATGCCAATTCATCAGTTATCAGCATTGGTACATGCTCACTCAAGACCCGCCTCTGAAACCCTTACTCATGTTGAGCAGCACTCACTTAGGTGATTAGACTTGAGTGGGATTCTCTCAGGATGGAGTATTTTTATGAGGAAGGCATCTACTTGTCTTCAGTGGCACCATGAAAGGATGAATCCTTTTCAGCATGGTTAAGGGCTAGAGAAGCAGCCCCTCACTGTCAGATGTGAGTGGAAAGATTCTGATAATTATACTGAACCCAACTAATAGATAGCTGTTGTTTTGGATGCGGTGTGCTCTTCAGGAACTGGCCGGTACATGAAAGAAAATAAAAGCCCCGCGTTAGTATTTGTCACAATATTGTGCAAACAGGATAAAGGTTTTCACATCTGAAGAAAGGCAGAACATGAGGTTGGAGTGCTAGCCAGTCAGAACTTTGAGTCCATTCAAATGATTACAATCCATTACATTATTATTAATTAATCAATCATAATAGCTTGGGAAATCTTATTATTTGACATTTTGTACAAGATGAATTATGCTCTTTTCACTCTCTGGGGTCGTGGTCAATCTGTCTGGGATGTGGGGAAAAAAATACAAACCTCTGTGTGCGAGGAACCCGGAGCAAGCTAATGTAGCCTCAAATTTAGGAAGTGGCAGCTGAAGTGACAGCCCAATGAGGACTGAACCAGGCTAACTGTGTTATGTGCGATTTACCCTCTGTGGCGGTCTCCCCTCCATGTGCCCAGAAAGGTGCATACAGATGCTACTGTGCCCATAGGAGTGTATCTGGTCCAGCAGTTCAGTCTAGCTCAGACTGATTTCAGTCTGGCAGGGAAGGAACAGGAAAGCTGTTTATTAACTCACAATTTGCTTGTTAGGAGTTAATAAAACACAACCCTAGCCTGTATCTGATGGGTTCCATGCAAGGTCTGTGCTTTGTGTCTCTGCCCTGTCCTCACTGGTGCTGCCTCAGCCATTACCTAACATGACAATTCCCGGCGACATGCACATGCGTGTTCACATTATGGTGGGAATAGGACACTTGAAAATGATTTAGGCCTACTTTCAAACCTGGCGTGAGACCGTTTGGTATACAGCACATGTTGCATTGGTGCAGCTCATCTAAACTAGGAATTTTCGCCAGTAGTTGCTTACGTAGTGGCACATCAGTGTAGACAAGGGCTTCGGAGGACTGAAAAAGGAGCCACCTATGGAATCATTCTCTACTGTCAAAATAGTATGGAAGCCAGAGAAGAAGAAAATGGCTTTACTTCTGCAGATATCTGCTCTTTCCATTGGAATGCAAGTATGTTTCTATAAAGCAGTGGAGACAGGAATCCAGTACGTGCCCTGTGAAATCACAGGCCACTCTTTAAATTGGAATACAAACTTACATGTAGTAATGAGCACCTGTGTGGTAGGCGAAGAAGCTGGTAAATAAATAAAGAAAACAAAAGCCAAAATTCAATACTTACAAAACAGATGTTTGAATAAACTTTCAGTTACTGGCGAAAATAAAGTGAAATTACATCCTACATGTGCTCTTGCAGTAAGCTAGATCACTTGCTGCTGTGGGGAAAACAATGTGATGAGAGCCTGGAAGGGGGAAAGTACCTCTTCATTTCTTGCCATTTAATTTCCCCTTGCAGAAGAACCAATGGTTCAACTCCAAACCCTTCAGAGCACACAGGATTTTAGGGAAGCGGAGATTACTGGAGCTCACAGGCCTCTGTGTGGACTATTGGGCAACATGGTACCCAGGGCACATTGCAGTCACGTTACCATGTGCTTCCTTCCCTGTAGTTGCCCCTGGAATCGCCTATAAGGATGAGTATCCCACCTGGAGGATTGAATGTAATTCCGCTAAAATACAATTCATATGAAAATAATAGAAATCTGAGTACCTGAGCAGATGACACTGGCATCCTCATGGTGGCTGCAGTTATGTGTGCCCCACCCTCAATGCAAGCACTGCCACAGAGAGGATTCATTCCCTCTGCACTGCATGTCATCCAGGAGAACACTTCCGGAGCCTCAACCAAACTGGGCATTCCTGGGGGCCTCAATGGCTTGCCCACATCCAAGCTGTCTGCACACAATCTCTGCATCATTTATGTCCCAGGCATCATCACAGACTGTTCCCAGCTTCCATTGTAACGGACTTCAACACGACCGGAACACCCGTCCTGTCCATTCACCAGTCTCAGTGATAAGGAAATACCCCGTGTGGCTGAGGTTGTGTAATCTGAAAAGGCTGACAAGAGACATAAGAGAAAATAAGGTTCTGTAGTAGCCACTAGAATCTGTTAGCTGGGTCAAGGTTTTATTTTTTATCATCAGAGAAAGGAAATTGATGGCCAGATTTTGTATTATGAACAGATTCTGCTGAGTGTAGTTGAAAGAAGAGTCACTAGTAAGTCAGTAATGGTTCCTGGATTCTTTCCCTGGCCCCAAAACCATTGGGCTGGGCCTGCCCTGTCAATGATCCTCAAGGTACTAGCCCCTAGTTGGGGATTACTGGAGTGCAATGCACTCTGGCTACATTCCTTCCTCTTCCCACCAGACACACTATCAGCACTCGGTTCTCTGGGGAGAGTGGCAAATAGGTGTTGTCTCTAAGTACTTGATACCTGTTGGTGTCTTCCCTTGACCACAGAAATACCCAGACGGTTTGTGAGCAATCAGATACATTCTCCTGTACATATCTGGTGATCTGCATTTACTCTAAGACTTTGAATTATTAATCACAGCTGAAAATAATCAGTCTCTTTGATATTTATATAGTGCTATAGATGTGCACAGCACTTTATAAACAAGTTAAAAAAGATAAGTGAGGAATTTCCTCTGGACTCAAAAGAATTATTTAAAACACCATTTGACTGCTGTGAAACTAATGATACAAAACAAAAGATTGTATATTTGGTGGTGTGGGTGTCTTATAATAAATTAAGACTATTTGCTCTTTTCCTGTTTGTTCTGCATTTAACTAATATAACAACTCCAAGTGATTTAGATACTCCAGTACAGATCATCTATGGCGAAAGGATACCAGAAAATAAGATGGAAGAATTTGAAATGGAGGCAACTATAGGATAATATCCTACTGAAAATATCTAAAAGATGGCTGGACTGGGACAGAGTTTGTCCTAATGTCTGTAGGTTTCTGATCTTTTGGGTTATATGTATGTATAAAGAACTGGAGACAAGGGGAGACATTTTCAAAAGCACCTAAGTGACTGAGGAGCTTAAGTTCCGTTTGCAAAAGGGACTTAGGCACCTAGGAATCCATGGGTACATCTACAGGGCAAGCAGGATCCTGGGGCAGTGAGTTGGCCTTGTCTACACTACAGGGGAAATTCGATCTAAGCTACACAATTTGAGTTACGTGAATAGCATAACTCAAATCGACATAGCTTAGATCTACTTACCACGGGTCCACACTACATGATGTCAACGGGAGACACTCTCCTGTCAACTGCCCCAACTCTTCTCGATCTGGTGGAATACAGGAGTTGACAGGAGAGCAATTTGCGGTCGATTTAGCGGGTCTTCACTAGACCCGCTAAATCGATCGCCCATGCATCAATCATCACTCATGGATCCCCCGGTAAGCGTAGACAAGCCCTCAGAGCCCAGTGTAGACTCAGGCTTGTGGGGCTTGTGCCAGAGCACTAAAAATACCTGTGCAGACATTCGGGCTCAAGCTGGAGCTTCAACTGTGAAGCCGAGGGTACTGAAAATTGGAATTATTCTTCCAAGTCACTTAGATACTTTTGAAACTTTTACCCAAGTCTATGAAGTTCATTATGAAATTATAGGCTACTCTTTAAACTAACATTTAAAATGGATCAAGTGTAAAAGTTTAGCAAGGCAAAGCTAAGGAAATACTTTCAAGTTGTAATGGGCTTCTCTGTGGTAAATGGAGGAGCTGATAACACAAAAAGAGAACAGAAAAAAATGAATAAGTGATGGAAGAAGGGCAGGAGCCAGGGGGAAGATAAGAGTGGGCAGGGAGCCAGGCACGATAGACGCAGGAAAAGGGACGTGGACAGTAGTCGAGGGGATAAATATTGAAGGAACAGGGAGAGACTGGGGCAGGGAAAGGGGCAGAAGGGTCTGAAAGCACTACAGCAAGTTCCCCTCTAGAATGTGGAATGGAACCCATTATTCCTGAGCATTCTCAGCATTCTTCTGTTGTCTAGCAAATAGCTGTGAAACATGCTGACAAAGTGTGTGTCCTCATTTCCTCTAGTGGCAGTTCCACATAGAAGATTAAAGACTAATAGTGCTACCACTTACTGCACTAGAGAAGTGATTAAAAGAAAAGTAAAAAGTATCCATCTACATGGAAAGAATCATTTCTAAAATTTTGCATTTTTGGTTATGGCTGAGCTACTTTAGGAAGCATGAATGAATGGCATGTGGTCCTCCCTTTTTATTTAACTGTATAACGTATTACAGCATTTTTTAACATTATGTTCATGCTCTGATTGTTCCCTACCTTCATTAGGTGTAGTCAGTGATTCTGGGGTAGATATTGCTCCAGTGTTCTCTGGCATGAAAGTGGATGAAAAGGAGTGATCTCTTTCCAGTGTTGTGTAATCCACAGCTACTGTTAGAAAGATGAGGAAAGAAATTAAGAGAAAGAACTAGTCATGGCTCTGAGAACTGGGGGTATTGGTTAAAAGATTTAAATTTAATGTTTTGTGGAAAAATGAGTTAACGCAGTAGCCTTCCGCTTGTGCAGATGTGGGTCAAAATTGTATTGTAAAGTTAATAATAAAGTCCTATAGAATTGAAATTAGGGAGCTTTTGTCATTGACATTGTTGGTTCAGGACTGGGTTCTTAAGGAGCAAAGGTGGAAGTGAGTTAAAAGAAATTAATTAAAGCAAGTAAAAATTCTGCATGGAAGGAAGCACGGACAATCATACCTCCACCAGCAGAGAAACCCATGTAGGCAATACACAGCATGGCTAGCCATGTCAATATTCAACTTTGCCTAAGCATTTGTGATAGTGAGAACAACAATAGTCAATTTTCTGTAAGTTTCAGAGACAAGTGGTCTCTGGCTCAAAAGTGGATGAAGAGGAGCTATCTGTTTCTGGTGTCATATAATCTGCAGCGGCTGTCAGAAAGTTGAGGAAAAGAGACAAGATGCCCATTTCCACATCCAGCGGAAAACTTCCCTTTCTGAATTGTGATGTCATAATGCCAAATTATTTCCTTTCTTCTACATATTAAAGCGGTCATGCCTGAGATCTCTATGTGGCACCATATGTACTTACCAAATGCCTGAAACAATTCGATAATCTGGTTTGTAGGGATATATTAATAAACTCTTCGAAGTATAATTCTTGCATGTAATTTTTGTGGGCAGTAATGTCCTAATTCTATGTCTTTTATTTTTCATGCAAATATTATTACTAATATCATTTCTTAAATTTTATATTTTTGGTCATGGCTGAGCCTGTTTAGAAAGCATGACTGAATGGCATCTGGTCCTACTTATTTATTTAACTGTATAACTTATTCCAGCCTTTTTCTTACATTATGTTCACACTCTGATTGTCCCTTACCTTCATTAGCTGTAGTCAGTGATTCTGGGGTAGATATTGCCCCAGTGCTCTCTGGTGCAGAGGTGGATGAAAAGGAGTGATCTCTTTCCAGTGTTGTGTAACCCACAGCAGCTGTCAGAAAGACGAGGAAAGAAATTAATAGATAGAACTAGCATCTAGTAATAGCACCTAGAATTGGGGTGTTGTTTAAAAGATTTAGATTTCATGTTTTGTGGGGAAAAAAACCTTTTGCTTGTGGAGATGTGGGTCAAAGTTATATTTCAATGTTAATTACAATTTATTATTTGATTTGCAATTGGGGGACTTTTGTCATTGACAGCATTAGTTCAGGACTGGATTTTTAAGGGGCAAACCTAGAAGTTAATATTGTAAGTTTATGCTCATCTTCTTTACCACCTATCATTTCAAAACACTGCAAAACACTGCAAACATTTTATTCTCTTTTCAAAAGGGCCCTGTAACTTAAACAACAGGTAGTGATGTGGCTCCATTAGAAAATGTAAAAGCATAAACAATAACTATCTGCATTTTATTTGGCTGAGTCTCTTACTGCTAGAGATATCGGGAAAACTCCCATTTATGTTTAATATTTCTGTCCTGCTCATGCATTGTCCCCTTGGTGGATGATTGTCTCATGTTTAATTTACCAAAAAAAAAAAAAATGCACCTTATACCGAGGTTAGAATGTTGTTTCTCACATTATATCTATAATCTTTTGAAGATCAGTTGTGTATCTTCCTTTGTTTAGTCCTCTGGTAATATCACTTGATTTAGTGAGTTCAAAGAGGAACATTCAAAATTTAGGTAGGGAGTGATAGAAAAGAGATAGAATGAGAAGACACTTGGCTCCATTTCTGGAGGACTGGTGACACAGTAGTCATTTGGGAAGTGGCAGAAACCCAAAAGACTGCAGAAGTTAAGAAAGAAGGCTGCAAAAAAAAAAAAAAAAAAAATCTAGCAGAAAGACATTTCTAGATATTTTAAAGTACATACCAGAAATTATTTAAATGTTTTGCCAGATTGTCCTGGGGTTCTGTAGCCAGTATGTATTAATGCGGAACAATAAAAAAATAAAGAATTCTCAGTACTATAAACAGTCACTAATTAAAAAGCAATTAAAGAAAAGTAAAAATTATACTTGGAGAGAATAATTTCTAAAATTTTGCATTTTTGGTCACAGCTGAGCTACTTTAGAAAGCTTGACTGAATGGCATCTGGTCCTGCCTATTTATTTAACAGTATAACTTATTCTAGCATTTTTCTTAGATTATTTTCACACTTGAATTTCCCTTACCTTCATTAGCTGTAGTCAGTGGTTGTGGGGTAGATATTGCCCCAGTGGTCCCTGGCGTGAAAGTGGATGAAGAGGAGCTATCTGTTTCTGGTGTCGTGTAATCTGCAGCGGCTGTCAGAAAGTTGAGGAAAAGAATGAATAGAGTGGGGTGTTGGTTAAAAGATTTAGATTTCATGTTTCTATTCTGAGTAGAGTTTACTCTGTTTTTGTTTTTCCCCAAGGCTTCACTCTTCACTAAGTTATATTCATTCCACTACCAGTTCTCCACCTATAACTAAGAACCCCTTGTAACAGGGTGGTGCTCTTGCTCTGTGGACCGGCACACTTAACATGTGTTTGTCCTAAAATAGTAGGAGGTGCTGAGTGAGCCCTGC